CTCCCCTCAGTTGTTCACATAGGAGTGTTTTAATGAGAAAGGCAAAGCAATCCTTTCTCAAGAGTTAGAATCAGAGAGCTCTCAAAACCATGAGATCAGTGTACATGGTACCTCTGCAATCCTCTAACTTACAGACCTGATTTTAGCTTTGCAGGCATCTTCATTCTCCTTTACCAGAGAGAGAGAGACACACAGTGCATGTGGGAGAGGGAGGGACTCTAGGAAGTAAATAACAAAAGAAGAACACAATTTTGAGGAGAAGCTACCAACTCAGCTGGAATTTGACTCCATGGTATAATATTCACTTTTTAAATACCTGACAGAGACTGACACACTCTTCTTGACAGAATAGGAAGTGCTAACATGGCTCAGACAGAGCTCTCCAAAGAGGATAAGGTCTGCCATCTCCCAAACAGTGCAATGGGTGGGGGTGGCAGCAGTTTCTCACACAGTGCAGACACACTTCTGAGAGCACAGAAAGTGCATCCTTTGCACAGAGCTTGTGCACAGTCATCCTCACTCAGGCATTTTTACACAAACAGCCCTATCTCACTCAAGAGTGTAAACTTCCTCCAAAAAATACAAGACAATACTGCAGATCTGCTTCAGTTTAGCTTTCACATACTTAGCACTGAGTCAGGGACAGGGATTTTGTAGGGCTGGCTATTTCTCCCAGGATAGGCTGCTCCCAGAGCTCTGTATTTGCCCTGTACATGCACTACATTCAAATGAACAGTGGGCTGCCACAAACTTGGTCTCCATCAATGTACTATGTTCTTTTGGGTTTTTCTATTTTTTTCCTGTTGTTTACTTCTTAAGTAAATTCATTTTCCCAAGATATGGTGCCTAACAAACTAACTATCCAAGATATGCCTCAAATACCAGAATACATTAGACTGCAAGAAGGCCCTATGGTGTTTTGCTAATTAGCTTAACCCTTTTGGGACACAGAAGAAGGAATTTTTTATTAAAACAGGATAACCCTGGACTATATTGATCTGACTGAGAAATGAGTATTTTAGTCAAGATGAGTCTCAAGATGAGCACATGCTGGAAACAGCAATGTTGTTTCCATAGCAATGCCATGACAGCCTCTAGAGTGAAATAGTGCTACCAGGAAATGAAGGGAGTTCAAGTGCTATGAGCTACATAGTTCTGTGAGCAATCCAAATACATTCTCATAAAGAATATTTAGTGCAGCTAGATAGTCCAAAGATTGCTGCTAATGGCAAGTAAGCCTTATCAGTATGCTCCTGGCAGTCCTTTTTTCTCATTCATTTCACCCAAGATGATTATCTAAAGACTTAAGCTATGGGCAACACTGCTAAACCATTTCAGACCAAACATTAACAAATACAGCAACCCTTACCTTACTCCTTTGCCAGTGCAGAATATCACCCACAATTAAGGTCACTGACTCACTCTCCATAACACAACGAAATAGACGAAACCTTTTAGTGAAGAAAATCCTAGTATGTGCAATTATTTACCAGGCTGACCTTCTCCCTTCCTTTTCTCTCACCTCCTCCTCTCCCTTGCCTCCTCCTGCCCAAACAATACTGAGCAGATCTGTTTGCAATTTGCAAGTGGGCAGCAATGTACAGAAGTCTTGCATACTCCTCATTAAATTTACATAGGCACAGCATAAACTCACTTTGTCTGCTTTTCACCCCAGTTAGTGCTTACACTAATACAAAAGCAAACCAGAAAAGCACCAGTTGTATTTTATCTGTCTAAGGCTTTACCTAAGGTAAATATTCTGGTCAAATTCTGCAAAGCTGATTTAAAATATTTTCCCAGAGACTACAGAAAGATAATTACTTTAAGATCTCCATTGCTCTGTATTTTCAAAGAAATGAAAAATCATCAGTGATTTGTAAAACTGTTAAAACGATGGTTATAACCAAGCTGTTCTCAAATTAAATTCCACAGGGCAAAGTATTTAAAATGTAAAATACCTAAACACACTGTTGCTGATTCTGTCTTTCTCCAGCATTTCCCATGCAGCTTGTAAAGATGTTCAGACATGAAGTGAATGTCCAGAAACTCTCCCACTGTATTTCTTGTTTGTGTCATTGTCACAACCAGCCTCTTGGGTAAACAGATTGGAGGTCATTATATGTAGCAGGGCTGCCTCTGAGGGAAAATTGAAAGACAAATACTCATCCCTGCCAGATCCCTTATTAACAAAATCCACTTCAAACCAAAATGTTTTCTATTTATTGTTTCAAACATGCATTTCAAGGAATCAAGCCTTGAATGTAAAACAGCAAGATGCTTCATTTCCCATTTGCATTCAGTAAAAAGATGTGAAAGAAGCATTTTTAAAGCAGCCTCAGCCTCCTCCTGCCTATCCCTGTAAATGTGTTACAGAAGGCACCAAGCCCAGCAACATTCATTTATAATTTAAACTGTTTGTTTGGCAGAATTTTTCCACCTTAATATGTCTAGTCTTGTAACTGGCACACCCACTGATTTTACCAGAAATTCATCTACTTCCAGGAGATTTTTATATAAGTTGTTTTTCTGTAGGACAGAAATTCAGTTTCAGGGACAGATGTTATCCAGGGAAAAACACATCCCTGCAATTTTACAAGATATGCAGGGTTCTGTATGGACAAAAAGGTCCCTGTTAGGAGACTGATGTACATTTAACTTATCCCATTCTTTCAGTTATCATGGCCTCCCAGTTAATTCTCCAATATGAGCAATATTCTGTAACTATCTCATCTTTTCTTGGAATACCCATGTCAAAAATTCTGTTTATCAAAGAATTAGGTAAAAGTAATCTGCCTGATGACCTGGTTTTGACAACTGAGTACAGACAGGTGCAGCTTATACTGTCTGTACTCAGTCAAAACCAGTCAAAACTCAGTCAAACCCAACAGCAGTGGGTGCAGGCTCTGTAACTCAACCTACTCTCCTGAATTCATACAGGTATCCAGCCATAAAAGCCAACCTGCTGCCACCATGGGCACCTTAGCAGGAACATTTTGCCCCTAGAATTGATTATCCCATTACTTTGTGTTATCTCCTGCCACTGCTTGAACTCTCTCATCACAGTCCTCACAGGTTTTCATTAAGTGGAAAAGAACTAGCAATATTTATATCCCAATCCAAGACAGAAATCCAAATATCCCAAAGCCACTGTCTCAGACACAGGAAAATTGTCCTATCCTAAAACTCTAAAACACACTCTTAACTTCCCTCTCATGGTCATTCTTAGAACATACTCAGAAAATGAGTGTGTCATTATAAACTTTATCATGCTTTAAGACCTAAATCAATGAATCAATCAGAAACCTTCAAAGACATTTTATCACTAAGTACTCAACCACAGGAGTGGGCTAATGCTTGAAACAAAGTCCACACAGCTATTCATTTACTGCTATTTCTTTCTTAGTGTGGCACTAATGACACTAAAAATTCATGTTGTCCTCATGAACTATAATAACAACTATTTACTTGGTTTTCAAAACTTTTCAGGAACATTTGTCTTGGCAATCCATAGATTATTAAATAGCTTTAATACAACAAAAGGACTTGCCAAAGGCAAAGCCTTATCTTGCATAAGCACTCTGGAATGTGATCTGGTGGTCACACAAAGGCATACAGGGGTTACTGTGCTTGGTCTGACCACTGCTCTGCCTTGGAAGAGGAGGACACAGAGCAGAGTCACATGGAAAAGTGTCCAGGACAGAGAGAAGTCTGGAGGGTGAAGCTGCTGGGAGGAGGGCACTGTCAGAGCCACACTGCTATTCCAAATAGCTGTGCTGGCAAATAAAATTAAATCATTATGATCTGTCTTACTGAAGAATGGAAGTACAGTTGCTTGGATATCAAGGCAGACATAGCTGGGTTTTGAAGTACCACATATAAATTGTTCCTAAATATACAGTCATATTAAAGAGAGAACCAATTAAGCTTGCTTAATCTAGACAGGTGAAGGACAGAATAACAGTATGAGTCTGGAAACAAATGGAGGAGATATTCAGATATGCAATCCCCAGGGTAAGGGCACCTGTCACTTGACCCTGCAAAAGTAATTCTTTAAGGACATCAAATGTTGTTTGATTTGAAGATCATTGTTTCCTGTGACATTAGCAAAGTATGGGTAAAATTTCAAAGATGACCTGGCCCACAAAGGAAGAAATACAATCACCACAGACAGGGAGAACACCCCATCACATTGCTGCCTCCTCTGAGGAAATCCACCCAACAGGACAACTTCACTTTGACATCTAATAGTCCCTCATATAAACCCACAGAGACATACTCTTCTAGCTCCTTTTTGATACACTCAAAAAGAAATCACCAAAGGAATACAACATTCTGACCTGGCCCCATAACCTATTTCTCTTCTTACCAGTCTATTTATGTTCTGCAAAACACAGAGAATCACTTTTCTTGGCTACATTCTCTTTTGCTCCCCCTCCAAGCCACCCAGTTTTAGTGCAAGGGGCAGCCTCACAGATGGCCAGAATGACTCCACAACAGAGCTTTCAGGATAACACCAGCACTCAAAACATCAATGCCTGCATTAATCACAGACAGAACTCACACAAAGCAGCTGAGCCTCACCCCCAAACTGTGCATCTTGGGCATTAGGGCTCTGGGAAGCAGGATGATGGAGAATGGGGGGCAGGGACAGGATAAGGACTGACCTTGCAGCAAAGCAAGGTGCAGTATCTCAGCATCAAATGTCTTCAGGATATGACAGTACAGAGTATTATAGTCAGGTGGATAGTTACCATTCAGCTGGCATCTGTTTCTTATTTAAATGTCTTTGAACAACACCATTACTTTTTATATAAAATTCCCTGATTTTTTCAATCTCTTGGCTGTCTCTTACAATATCTCAGCATTTGCTGTTACAAGTACTGCAGAGATTCTGGTAAGTAAAGGTATATTTTAAAACCCGCAGAAAAAATATTTTTAAATAGTCCTCTTAAGCCCACTAATAACATGAACACTGAGCAAGGAATCAGAATGAAGGATACTGAAGCTCCTGTCTGTGATGGCTAAATGCCAGAGGTTAATCCTGAGATCATCCGCTGACATGTACGTCTCACAGTCACTGTTGACAGATATTGAGTTGACATGATAGGTGTGACCATTAGCAAAGATTCTCCTGGGAGTGACTTCTACCATCAAATCCATGGGTTTCAATACAGGCACCTGCCAAAAAAACACAAAACACAAATCAGAAAGAGAGTAAGACTTGAAATACTGTTTTGCTGGGATGATGAGAATTCCAATAGAAAGAAAGCATTCAATGACTGTGATATTATAAAACTTCTTGACAGTGTACACAGCTGAACTTCCCCATGGATCAACTGCTGGGCAAGGTCTTCCCTGCCAAGGAAGAAGAGAGAGACCAGAGGCAGAGTGATGGAAAATCTGACCTGTGGGAAGGGAGGGGTTGTCAGCTGCCACAGAACAGCTCTGTCCCACTGTATGAGCTACTGTCCCACATCTGCAGAGGCTCTGGCAGGCAGTGAAGCACTTATATTTTCCTTTTGCTAAAGGGTTTGCCCTTAGTTGTGAATCACTTAATTCTATTTGTTTTGCTACTTGATGTTTCTCTTTCCAAAAACTCTCATGGTGAAAAGGCTGTAATCTCAGAGAAACATAATAAATAAAGGCTTGCAAAACAAAGCCAACATGACATACTGTACATACACATGTGCCCCTGAAAAGCCAATATCATAGATCATCACTTGTCAATGTGCCCTTCTCTATGTGTCACTTCAAAGTCATGCCTCAACAAGTGGACACTCAATTTATTCCTTATCAATAAAGCATTAATCACTGTAAAGCTGTGGTCCATGACTGGGACTACTCCATGTTGTTGAACATGCATCAGAAACAATCATACATCAACCCACAAGGTAATCTAAAAGAGGAACACAGAGTTTGAGATTGAAACATTTGAGTTTCACTTTCTACTAAAGGAACAGAACAAAACTCAACCTTTGAATTACAGAATCACAGAATATGTCAAGTTGGAATGGACTCACATGGATCACAGAGTTCAGCTCCCTGAACAGCACCATCCCCAAGAACCACACCATGTGCCTGAGAGCATTGTCCAAATGTTTCTTAAACTCTGCCAGGCTTGGTGCTGTGATCCCTTCCCTGGGGAGCTGTTCCAGTGCCCAACCACCCTCTGGGTGAAGAATCTTTTTCTAATATCCAACCTAAACCTCCCCTGACACAACTTCAGGCAATTCCCTGGGGGCCTGTCACTGTCACCCCAGAGAAGAGATCAGGGCCTGTCCCTCCTCTTCCCCTCAAGAGGATGCTGAGTTCTCAGGGAATTCTCATACTATAAGCAATCCGGAATAGTTTTGTTTGCCTAATCATATAGAATAGATAAATATTCCATTAATGTAATCATATTTTACATTTTGGAAGCTTTTTTTCCCAACAGACTTGTTGGGTTGTTTTGTTTCCAACAATGAAGACATTCTAGTGTTTATACAACACAGACTTCCAGTTCTAACCTTTAGCCACTTCCTTTGACAAAACATCTGGAGTGAATTCAGCCAAAAAAGTCTGAGAGCAAAAATCTACATTAACATGTGGATAATGGGTCTCCTCTCCGAGAAACAAGTGACAGGAGAAAAGGAAATGGCTTTAAGTTGCACTGGGAAGGTTATTCTATTATAATTGGATTATATTGATTATTGTATTATAATTGGATATTAGGAAAGATTTGTTCACTGAAATTTTTGTCAAGCACTGGAAGGGGCTGCCCAGGGAAGTGGTTGAGTCAGCACACCTGGAGGTATTTGCAAGATGTGTAGAAGTGACACCTGGGGACATGGTTTATTGAGTATGGCAGTGCTGGGTTCATGGCTGGACTTGATCTCAACAGTCTTTTCCAAACTGAATAATTCTATGATCACATATGCTTATATGAGTTTCATTATTGCATCTTTTCAGCAATGCAGAATCTCAGGTTTACCAGAGCACAGACTACTGCAAATCCCACTCTTAAAATAATTATTTGATAAAACAGAAAAAAGATAAAACTGAAATTTGGTGTACTGTCTTTAACTCAGTTGCTCTGAATGTGGCAAATTAACTGTTCAAAATTAACTACAAATAAAATGCTTCCAGCACAAGAGGTTAAAGAACCTTTTATGAAAGCACATTAAGTCACAATAAGAGAATTTTATCAGGAAAAATAAAACCAACATGAACTCTCAAAAATACTTATTTTGGTCAATATATCTTAAAGGATTTGTGACTTGCAAATATGTGGTAGATTCAATACAGTGAGCAGTCAGCTAAAGCTTCAGTTAGAATTACCATATAAATACTTAGCATTGGGTACATATTTAAATCTTTTACTGACTTAGCACTGCCTTTTTCATACAGAAACAACTGAATTTTGGACATGGACAAAATCTTACCTGCAGTGATGTTACTGTAGAAAGATCTTTAAGCTTTCCTTCTTCATCTTTTAAGTTGTACCCCTCCGGTCTCTTATCTCTTTCAGTAATTTTCCACAATTTGATTGTTTTATCTTTAAAAGAAAAGACAAGCAACTGTCAGCAGAGGAATTCTGAATGCAGTCACTCACCTTTCACAATATACTCCTTAAAGAAGATTTTACACCTTGGTTTAGACAAGTCCTGTGCTGAAATAATCTGGGTCACTTCATTCTGCACATCCAGAAAATGCTGCCCACAGACAAAATACTCATAAAGGACATCCCAGATCTTCACTCTGAGTCAGGGGTTCCTGGCAGCTGACACACTGTGTGGAGCATGTAGAACACCTGCTGCTCATGAATCCAACCTGGCAGACTGCAGGTGGGACAAGCCCAAACTACTCAATGCTCACTGCTGAAGCTCAGTTTATCAATGTGACTTGGCAAGGAAATAATGTCAATATTAAAACCAGTTTGGCATTAATGCCAGTTTGTTAGGTTACTTATAAACAGCACAAGAACAGCATGGATACAAAGCCACACCAATGACCCCTTCCTGGCCCACTGTGGGGATGGGCAGTGGTGCATTGGTGTAGCATCAGGAGCTCCTGCAAATGAAAGGCTGTGTAAAAAATGAGGCATTTCTCCCTCCTAATGGAGAGCAGCTGAGAAATAACAGAGGAAAAATAAAAAAACCCAACCAAACTAAGAGAAATGTGTTGCAATGGCAAGAGAGAGAAGTAATGAGAAACTTGAATTAATCCTAGACTCTTCCTTTCTCGTGATGGGTGAAGCACATGATGAGACAGTAATGATGACTCTCAGTTAGCAAAGAGCCTCTGAGACCAACAAACATTTTTTAAACATTTCAAATTGCATTTGTCTTTGGGGTTTTTTTGTACAAGCTGAAGCTCCAGATTTCCTAATGCTGATTGTCCACTCCCACTGTGGTTGTGCTCCTAACCTGCCAATCCTAAAGCTTCTTGGACTCAAAAATCAATGCCAACTCTTCTGCAAAAAATCTGTCCCGAGATTCTAATGGCTGTTTCACTCATCTGCTTGTGCAGCAGCCAAAGTCTTTCCAAAGCTTCTGCCCTTCAGCTGCCAGCACAGATTTATTAACCTCAGTTCCTGCATCGTTTCTGATTTCATCCCACTTTCTTCATTTACCTTTTTTTCTCCAAGTACACAGCAGAGCATAATAATTTCCCCAGTGTGACTGATCCAAATACTACTTCTAAATGCCTGTACAAACCACTTTAAAGACAGGATATATGAAAAACATGAATTGATTTACATTTCTGTAGCAACTTTTAACTTTGAACTTTCTTTGTTTCAAAATCAATCCCTCCATTACTCATTTTTTGCTATTATGTATCTCTTAATGATATTGATATGCTAATATGCAAGCAAAAAAAAATCACAATACAATTACAGTCAATCTACAGAACAAGAGGTTAGTTCAAACTGCAATTAAAAAGCTCCTTTTAAATATTCAATAAATTTCATTTGTATTGTATATCATGTTAATTAATTATTAAAAGTATACATAGGTCATGTCATGCCCTTGGATATTTTATTACATGTAAATAGTGCATTCCTGTTATCTAGTAAAAAAATTATAAATACAGCAATTGAAAAATGACTTATAATAAAAAAGAAAAACAATTTTCCATTGTTAGATTTGATTCCTATTAATAAATCTACCTCTTTCCTGAGTGAAAACTGTTTTATTAGGAGGTAAGTTTATCATGTATTGGGTCCCTTCTCCTTTATCTAACTCTGGAATTTAAATACTCCTTAGAAGTTTTAAGTATGCTTATATTTTGCAAAATATAGAAAAAACAGAAACATCTCTGTAAGGTTAAGCATTCAGTCTCAGGGGTGTTGTGAAGTTAAAATTAATTAATGTCTGGTAAGCAGCCTGAAATCCTCAGATGAAATAATCTGTGTAAATTCTGATCCACCTTATGTAGCTCACACTGAAAGTGGCCCAAATATATTCTGGTACAGAAGATACCAATGAATCATAATAAGTTGTTACTATTATACTACAAAATCAGTTCATTTTACAGTGAAAACTACAAATTTGCTAACTGCAAGCACTGTAAATCCACAGTGGGATTTGAAAGCCTTGGTGATTCCCTTCTGTCTCCATTAATTAAGATGCCACAATCAAAGCTTAGCTGATAACGCGAACTGGAAAGGAACCAGGACTGACTCTGAGGGAGCGGACCTGTGCAGAATCTTCAGACAAAAGTCCTCCTCAGAATGAGAGAAACAGATTTGGGCAGGTGCAGACCTGCCAAGTCTCATTTACTGAGGGTCAGATTTAGACTGACTCTCCCCTCATGCTCCTTCCAGCACATTCAGTGGGCACTGTCTGCCTGAGCACATGGAAAGGATGCTATTTCACAACTCCCATTTTTCTGCAAAAACCATGCATTAGATCCTAAATTATCAGAGAGCAAAATATCAAAAATTGCATTAAAATAGCAGGCTTGGAATTTAGTAAGCAAAAAACCAGTACTCAAGATATTTCTACAATCTATCCAATATGAGCATGTGTGATAGATAGTGCCTTCAAGTTAGGAAACATATTATTATCCCTTTTTATAGGCATGGAATTGATATATATTGTCAAAGGCTTCTCCCAGCTAATCTGTGAGACAGTGAATAATTCAACGTGGGCTGTCTGTACCCTGAAGCTAAAACCATCTTTAAGAATATGCCAGGAGGTGAATCTTGAGACTTCAACCCTGCTGTGCCAGGAAGCCTGGAATCCTCCCTGGCACATGCAAATGTTTTGCAATTCAAAGCCAAAATCCAAGGCTTGTAGCAGTGGAACCATTTATGTTCTCCTCACCATGAAGGGATCTGCTGAGATGCTCCAAATTAAGAGAGGGAAGCAGAAGCCAAAGTATTTTTCCAGGTCCTAGGCTTGCTCATTGTTGGTGGGAACTGGATTAACCACAGCAGCACTAGGACTGGTTATTTCTTCCTTTCTCCCCTCTCATGACAGTACAAACCAGAAAACTCATGTAGTAATCTATCATCTATAACTGCAAAAGCTGAAAATATGAGGATTCTGCTGTATTCCTCTGTGCTTCTAAAAGCAAACTTTAAAATAAAAAGGGAAAGGTTCACTTTCAGTAATCTGCTTTTGTGTCACACACTCAGAAGCAGCTGCTCTTAGTTACCTGAAGGGGTGAGGGATATTTTTACCAAGGGAGAAGAGTAGAAATAAACTTCATAAGGTGACTAATCATTAAATTAGCATAAATCACCTCTCTGTAACAGGTGTATTTCATTTTGAATAAGTAACAGTGACCCCAAAAAAATCAAAGGCAACTTCAGGTAAAACAAACTACAAAATCCTAAAAAATTATCATCTACTTTGAATTAATGTAAACATTATTTAATGCTATATATTTTAATGCAAAGCAATCCTTTATATTGTGTCAGTTCCCAAAGATGAGATAACCCTATTTCTCATCAGCAACTCCCAATTACACTCAAACTTCTAGAACGAAAAAATTTCTTTTCTGATTACCATTAGATCTAAAATTTAAAACCATTTTTGTGGTATTTTGTGTCATGCATCATCTGCAATAATGAAGTTTGTGGGTGTCTAAATGCTTCCTAAATGACACCTATTCATGTTAGGTTACATTCAGTTTTTTTCCCCTTACTTCATATCTGATTATTCCCTCTTGGTAATAATAGTGCCTTTTTTCATCAATAGGCTTTACGCATGTCAGAAATATGAGTCAATACCCTAGTATTATTCCTTCTGTCTTCCTAAGATTTGTGTACCTTTTTAAAATTGAAATAGACTATTCTGATGATAAGGAATAAAAAGAAAAATAAATTAATCTCTCTCACCAATCTTCATCTACGCATCTGCAAATAATAAAAATTATGACAAATACAGCAGAAAAAATTCTAAATTTCCCATGAAACACAAGCTGCTGAGTAAAGTGATGCCTTTGTCACATGATCTATTTCAGCACAGCACTGCATATTGATAGAAAAATGGACAGCTCTTTAAATGTCTATGAATATTCAACTGGAAAAACCTCGTGATTCTATGAATAAAATACACAAACAACAGAGATCAGAGGCAGTATGACAGTCTTGGTAAACTCTGAAAGAATAAATTACTAAAACAGTAGATTAAAATGAGCAAATATATACATCAGCACTAAAACACACAGAGCAAATACTGCAAATACTGCTATGTCCTGCATACTCTCATCAATCTCACCATTTGTTGATAGAAGTGAATGAGCTGCATTTTGCTGTGGTAACCACTTGATCTTGTTTATTTTTTCTTCTATCTCCAAACTCTTCAAATAATCAAATTCAGGTTCATGGCTCTGGAAAGTGCTGTAAACATTGTACTCCCCCTGATTGTAAGGCTCATTTTTACTCTGTGGGGAATAAGAACAACAGAAACATTGTTTATGACAGTAATATATCTTCATCTCTTAGGAAAGATGTATAAACCTTATAAATATAAAAAATATTGGAAATTTATTTTAATTTCTCATTTAGAACATGATATTGACAGATTTGTTTCAGCAAGAATGACACTTCCTGTGAGAATTGAAACACTTAATATTAGAATTTTTGAAGAAATATCAGCTATTCAGGAAAGAATTCTACACAAAATACTGCAGATGAATGGAATTTACAAGTGGAACATGTAAGTGAAGGTATTGTTTTAAATAGAATAGGGTTCCATCATCAGGAAAAAGCTATTAAAACAAGGCAAAAGTAAAACAAAAATAATCTTCTTTTTTCTTATATCAGAATTTTGGAGCTTTGAAGCATTTTTGTTTGGGACAGCAAACTTACGAGTTAAAAAACCTTACCCTATTTCACTTCCTCTCTGAACAGGTGACACTGTTTTAATAAATTTTGAGATTATAAACAAGTAAATTCAGTTAAATAAAGTGTTTAAAAAGTAAGGTTTAGGTTTTAGACTGGTCAAAAATTTAAGCCAGGCTTTTCAGACTATTGAGGATGACATTGGTAACCCACATACCTCAGGCTCCCTTTGGAATATAACCACTCGGCCCCCCTTGTCACCAGTAGCCAGCAGTTCTCCAGTGTGGTTGAACTCAACTGTAGAAATAATATCAGCTGGAGGAAGAAAGAGAAAAAAAGGCAGATTTTAGACTGCTGCTAAAACATAAAGTCACTAGAAATATCAGGCACTGCACAAAGAATGCAACAAATGAGGGATTTGAAGGAATACAGATGAATTCACTAATGCAAACAGGCCGCATGCCATTACAATCTAATGAAACAAGTGCAAACATTAAAGAGGCAAATTTGTGTTTCCAGCACATCTGCAGTTGGGGGGAGCAGAAGCTCTCTGGAGAGGTTATGCTCCAAGAAGAGCCATCTTGGGTGGCTATAAAGCTTTTTTTCAGTCCTGGCAAAGAACAGAACTGGCCTCCTGCTATATGCTCTAGCAAGGACCAATATAACATCAGTTCTCTTGCATGTTTTATTTATTCTATGAGCTTTCTGGTGATTTTAACGTAACCCCCTAGCAATAGTTTTCTCAAATATGTATTGGAGTCAAAAGTGCAAAAGCAAAGTACGTGCAGCCTGTCCTACCACTGAGGAGTGAAGGCAAAACCAGAACTGCTCACTGTGCAGGGCTGGCAAGAGCCCATTCTAATCACTGTTTTCAAAAAATCATTTCAGCACCCTAAAAATGTGTCATCAGAAGACAAAAGAAATCTCAGTCTCTCTTTTCCTGATTTTCAACAACTGCCTTCCCTAAGCAATATCATCAGCTTAAACAAGAAACCTCATCAAAACCTGAGGCCAGTCTTGAGCACAAATTACTACACATGAGGATGAGAGGGAGAAGAGGCTGTAGCAGCTAAAGAACTGGTTCTTCTGCTTGAATGACAGTACATGCTAGAATCATAATCCACAGTTAATCCTACACTATTACCATAATTTGAATTAAAATGCCTACTGCAATAGTAAATTAAGAAACCATCATATATACAATCACAGGCAAATTCAGGGAATTACTCAGAGACTGCATGTATGAATCCTCTATAATGATCAGTATTCACTCATCAGAAACATGGGCCAGATTTTAGAAGTGTCAGTAGACAGGAGCTCCCCTTTAGGCATAAAAAGCTGCAGCTCCCAAACACATTCATCATCCATCAGTTTATGGGGAGAACAATGAAGTGACAGTGGGCTAAGCTCTTTTGAGAACCTAGCCCAAATGAGTTCACAGAAATTCAAAGGAATTGAAATAACAAGTGGATGTACCATTTACTTGATACATTTTATGAATTGAAAACATCTGTTCCTATTATTCTTTTAATAAACTAGCAGTTTAGTGTTACAAAGTGTCTGTTGCCAGTAGCTCTCATCAGCAACACAGCCATCCAAAAGCCAGATTCTTACTCAAACATTATAAACTATTTACCATCTCAAAAAGGAAAACTTTGCTCCAATCACAGTAAAGAAAGATAGCTTTTCATTTTTTAAACAAATCTTCACCATCAAATTCTTCTAAATCAAACCAACATTCCTCCATCTTTTTACCTCCAATACTCCAATATATAAAGGAGGAAAGAAGAACCATAAATGGATGTGTAGACTTTGAGAAAAAAGGCACATGAAAATTTAGAGTATTTTTGGTCTGAACCCAAAGCTTCTCAAAGGTAATGGCATTTGATTTTTATGTAGACTTCCACAGGCTGCATATTTCATAGATAATAACTACAAAAGCCCGAGATTTACCAAAGTATGGGAAAAGGACTGTCCTTTTCCAATAAAAAGAAACAGACTTGGATTATAATATATGTCTGTTACTTGCATAGTTAGAAACACTCCATGTGATTAACATAAAGAATTTCAAGAACAAAGAAAAATTAAATATCTGTATTGCAGGTCATAAAAGAATAAGATAAAGTAAGTGCAAGAGGAGTGAATTGCAATTGGACATATATGTGTGAATACATTTGCTATTGGCCTGGGATAATTCCACAACTTCACAAAATATTCTTCTCTACAGTGGCAGAGGTCATAAAATATATTGCACTTTACAGAGGGCATCTGTCACTGCCCAGTAAAGTCCAAAGCAGTATTTGCACATAATAACTGAACCAGGATTGTAATAAAACAGCTCTGCATTTTCTTATTATATTGCATTTGTCATTAAAATATCATGCACAGTTAAATGACTACTGTTCAAAGAAAAGGACAGTGTGCAACAATATTGTTCTGTGGCAAAATTCTCACCCCCTTCCAAGGTGTATCTTCCAGATACATCTCTCCTTTCTATTAGAAAAACTACTCCTGAGCTGGAAACTACCTATCATTTTTAAATTAAGTTGTTCTGAAAAAGAACAGATCCAATATTATGACCTTATAGGCTACGTAGCTTGTTGGTAAAAATTATCCTTGAATTGGAAAATCAGTTTTATTGATCCTGTAAATAACAGCTGAAAACAACATCTATCTGTCCCCTGCACAGCCACCACCACCCCACCACCCCCCCAAACACATCCAGCATATCTGTTCAGCAGGTGAACATCAGTCATGCTGTTCTCTTACAAAGGGGTTGCCAGGCTGGCTCTTCCTAAAACAGAGGAGGTAAGGACAGAATCAATCAACAAAGCTCTTCATACTCTTCTGCAGGACACTCCCCCAAGTATTTCTGAATGCTGTAGCAACATCAGCCACTGCTGTCCCAATCCTGCAGATTCTCCCACTGCAGAGTGGCCCCCTGAGCACACAGAGCAATTAATTCCCAGATTTCAGCATCTCCAGGATATATAAATGCACCACAATAGAAAAGCTGATGAATTTGCATGTACAGTAAGCCCTTGGCAAGGGATGGCAGAGATGAAAGACTCCTTCCAGCCTTCTCCCACACTACACCTTCCATATCTCCGCTGGCAGCGCCAAGCTTTGCACCGACAATTAGGATTATCAGAGACAGAGATAATTTACCTATTAAGAATAATTATGGGTAACTTCAATGCCAAATGCTTACAATCAAACTGTAAATCCCATCTTCCCATCTTTTATAGAACATAAATCTTCCTACTCCAATTTTAAATTTTCCATTTTGTCTATGCAGAAATGTATGAAAACTTGGATTTAAAAGTCAATATATTCAGTATTTTCCCTCAATATACAGGTGCTGACTGAGAAAAGCAGACCCAAAACTTTCAAAAGATGAAAATATTCCAGGGGCATAAACACCTGATTATCTGGTCCACATCCATACACAGCAAATTGTCCCAGTATGCAAAATGCATTACAGACTTGAATCCTGAAACTTATTTTACATATTCACAGAAAGAAACCAATTATTCTACAGAGAAAGACATCACACTACTTTACAGCTTAAACTGACAAAAAGCTTTTCCTGACCCAGCCTGTGAAGTATTTCATTTACTGACGCAGAGTCACCCCTGCCCTTTCACACCTCACTAATTCCTCTGCAGATTCACAATTTACACTCCTTAAATGTTCTTAATGGCTATGCTGTTAATGGTACATCATTACACCTGGGCACATCAAGGTAAATCAAGCTGGCTGTACTGTTCTTTCCAGTACTTCATGAGTATTGTTCCAACATGGATGCAGGCAAATGAACCCTCCAGCAGCCCTCCCTAGGCTGAGAGCAGGGATGAAACAAGGTTGGTACACATAACCCAAGCTAATTTTGGCCTTTATTTCACCATTACATACTTTTCTATGTTCACCTTCTAGCCTCTCACAGTTTTATTTAAAGGAATAAGCTATTAAAAGCCATACAGAACACCAACAGGTCCAAATACCTCTACAATAAATCAGAAAAGCCTTACCTATATATTCAATCTTTCTATCATTTTGGGGCACTCAAGTGTAACAGCATGCGATTTTCCACCTAATATGGACTCAGTCAAGCTAACCCTGAACATACTTACACATCCTCATACAGCCTTTTGGTCAGAAACTTCAAGTATTTCTAAGAACAGCTCAACTGTAATTTTCGTGTGGTTTTTTTACTAAAAATCTCTACTTTTCTGGAACCTTCAATCTAAAAACCGTGGTTTGGTTTGGTTTGGTTGTTTGGGTTTTTTTGCTTCAGAAGATCAGCAAAGCAGAGAATTTTGTAATTATTTCATCCAGCACACAAATGCAGCTTTTTGAACAGCACAGCAAGTTTTGAGGGCAATCATCATGCAACAGTACAGGGAAAAGAAGATCAGAGAATATAATCTTCAACTGAATTCCAGTGTAATCCAAATAGAGAATTAAAGGATTTGGAATGGGCCAGAACACTGGAATTAACTACAGTACTCTTCTCTAAGAAAAAAGCTGTGAAATCCTACCAGCCAGAACAGGTCAGAACTCAGTATTAGTATCACACCCAGCACAGTCAGCATGGCCAGCCTGAGCTGTCTGAATCAACATCTGGGTCAGGTTTTTGTTGTGTGTGCTCCCAGTGGCTAGCAGAAAATCTTGTAGTCTATGTTATTTCAACCAAGTTCTGACCTGGCCTAACCTTGGTTTGTGAAATCCAATAAGATCACAGCACAATCTGGCATGGCTGCAAGCAATGTTCAGTCACACTGATACAGAAGTCCCTGAGGAGAATAATCTGGAAGAAACAACAAAGAAGCTTGCAACAAAGAGAAACATAAAACAAAAGGACAAATGGCAAATAAAAGAGGAGCAGTATTACAGTATCTCAAATGAAGGGACAGCCAATACAAAGAGCTGTGCTGTCAGAATTTAGTCTAGACTAAGAAAACAACAAAAAAAGGAGGGAAAAAAAAAAAGAAAAGAAAAAGCCTGCTACCTTTTTAAAAGCTGAAGTTTCAAAGGTTTCCTCAAACAGCTAGAAAATAAAGTATGCAAAACCTCAAATGTATGAAGGCCTCCTTTTCTGAAATAGCTGGCAGAGAGATCCTTAACAACTGAATCATTTCCTGCCTGAAGCAGCAGTCTCTGTAAAGGGCATTCACTTTAGGCCACAGTAGTATTATTCACCATCTTGGATCCAGGGATTGTAGGACATTAGAAGCACCCTCAAAGTTCAAGCCAGCACAATGCAAACTCCCACATCACACCATCCACCCTGGCTGGGTCAGATACTTAACACC